GCTTTCAGTACAAAAATTGCCACACTATGCCACTGATTGAATAAAATTGTAAAAGCAAGACTTTTTTCACCACATTGTTGCTTTTTCTTGTAAAAATAACCCTGAATCTTAGAACATTCATAATTTTGACACGGATAATGTTTTGATTAAGCAAATTGGACATGATCACTACGACTGTTAATGTTTTTATCCTTTTGCATTAAATAGAAGAGTGTTTTTTTGTCTCTCTTAATATAACATATTATTGTGATATATGTTCATTAAAAATGGATTTTGTGTTTAGGCTCTGGAAGATTACCGCAATGAAACTGGTAGCATCAAGGGTTTCCCTGGTGCTCAGGACTACACTGGTGAAAACATGCTTTTTGAACCATGTGATATATTGGTGCCTGCTGCAGTTGAAAAGGTCATCAATAAAGAAAATGCTAATCGCATCCAAGCAAAGGTATTATTTCCCTCTAATGTAAGCAAGTGCCCATGGGGCACAATTTGTCCTGTGGGAATTGTAAGGAAATATTTTTTTTTTCTTATATCATTTTGATATAGCTTGAACTAGGATTAACTCTTACACTGCTGCAGTTTGATAATTGTAGTCATATTTTTAGTTAACTTTTTTAAAATTTTATTTCTTAAAATATAAAATAGCCCTACATACAATTTTATATAAAATTGGAATTTATATGTTCCAAACTTTAAATAGTTAAATTAAAAATATAATTTTATTTCATTTAAACTAACACTGAAATAATTCAATCATTAGAATAGCGATACAATTTTTCCAAAGTTTTCAGTATTTTAGACTTATATTCAAATAAATATAGACATGCTGTCATTTGTTAATTGCATACCAATGATTATCACAGGACAGTTATGAACCACAGGACAGTTATACACTTACTGTAGTGTAAATGTAAAATCCTTGCAACCTTCTTTTTTTAACTTAAAGTAAAGAAACAAACATTCAAGCCATCTAATAAGCAAAAAATAAAAAAAAAGTACAGTATTCAAATGATCAAAATTTCCACAATTTTCATCTAAAATGGATAATCTGATTCCCATTGAGTTGTTTCTTAAAGTAGTTAAGAGAGGAAATCATCTATTTAGTTGTGTTAAGTTGATGTACCATTAAAATATCTTTAAATATTTTTTTTTTCAGCTGATGGTATTGAATGTTAGTTGATATGTAGACTATTAGAAGTTTATATGCTCATCTATTTTGTCAGTTGTCATCACAAGTTGGTATTTTTGTGTTGACATAGTGATTTTATAGAACCATGTATACTTTCACAGCTTTATTTACATAATACACTTCACTTAAGTGATATCTTCTGGTTATACAAACAACTACTCAGTATTAGTTGTAGCCATTAGCATTAGTAAGATAGGATAAAGTTGGTTTTAGAATAGCAATCACTTGTTTACTGTCCTTCGCTATGATGTTGTTAATGCCGATTGTAATCACCACAAAGATGTCTGTCAGATAAGTCTTCCTAATCACTAAGTGTTTATTTCAGTTTTCTTCAAATTGTGCTCTAGGTTTTGTAAGACCTCAAAAATTCACATCTTTAGCGTTGTTTAGTAGTAAATTGTTTGTGTTTTAGCCTTTCTGTCAGTATATATCAGAATTTTTCTTTTCTTGGATCCTTTACTGAATATTTTTTTAGTCCTACTTTATTGAGACAAGGAGGCATATCATACCCAAAACATAACATATATAACAAAAGTTGAATTTCCAGTCATTTTTTAAGGCTTGTGAGATTTGTGTTGAGTCCTATTCATCATGTATCTTCTCTGTATGATCATTTGCAGTATTGTATTACTACATGTTGGTAGAGTATAAGAAGTAAATGACATTGCTCCTTCCCTGATGTGCCAACGTTTACTTTTTAATATTAATTTCGCATTTTTTTGAAATGTGCTTCTTACCTTAATTAATAGTTTTGTGATGTTATTTTCAAATTATGTTGATATTTACTATCTCTATGTTGATATTACTATCTTTTTAATGTTCTAGATCATTGCAGAAGCTGCCAATGGTCCTACAACTCCTGCAGCTGACAAAATACTTATTGATCGTAATATTCTTGTAATTCCTGACCTGTATATTAATGCTGGTGGTGTAACTGTCTCCTTCTTTGAATGGTTAAAGAATTTGAATCATGTATCTTATGGTCGTCTTACCTTCAAGTATGAAAGAGAATCAAACTACCACTTGTTGGGTATGTATTTTTGAGTAATTATGTTTTTTGTATCCTCACTTCTAACACTAATCTTAAATTCTGCTGTTATTTGTTTATTCTCCTGAAGATAACTTTTCAGCCAAAGTAAATTTAAGAGAATGAATTATTAACTTAAACTTGTAAAGATTAAAGTACTGGATTAATTTTAAAAAAATAACATCACATTTGGAGTATCAGAAGTTCAATTTAATTATTTAAAAGCATTTTTTAAAATCAGTTTACTTGCTCAATGCTCTTCAAAAGTTACTCACTAAATTTATCACTTATAATATGAAATGAGAGTTTGTTAGATGTTAGTTGTTTTATAACTGTCTGAATTATTGAATGATCAAAAGCACTAATTCCAAAAATGTAATTGAAATTAATAGCATTAACTTGGAAAATTCTAATTGTGCCCACAATAATATAATTTCGGAAACCATCAACATGGGAAAGGGTTTATTGAATTAAAAATGCAATATGTATAACAATAACGAAATCAAATGTTTTGGTTTATAGATTGTCACAGAAGTTTAAAATCAATATCAATTTTATGGTAATTATGATGAAGAAATACAAACAAGAAGTTAAAGAATGGCATTAAATATTAAAATTTGAATCATATAAATTTCTACTGAATATAAGTTATGTTAACCATTTAAGTACATAATGTTTAAAGTTTTGTATAAAATATACAAAACAATTCAATATCAATTTATAGTATAATAAGAATTAGCTTATATTGAATTAGAATAACATCATACCATTGGTATACATCTGAAACTCAATTGGTCTAAAAATTGTGTTTTAAGATGAAGTGAGACTATTTACTATTACTTTTTGACAAAAAAGTAAGAATTGGTTACAAATTTGGAAAATTCTCAGAATGCCTATTCAAAAGTTGGGGTTGTCTTATTTTCGGGGGCAACTTATATTTGGGTAAACATGGTACTTTTATTATTAATATTAAAACAAATTAAGAGACAAATATACAAAAAATAGTTGTCCTTGTCAAAAAATAATGCTTTTCAAGACTCCTTATCACACAAGACAGATGAGCAAAGTCACTATTGTGAATAACTCTTTTAAAATCTTTTGATCTTAATGTAAATAAATAAAGTGTGGCTAATTTCAAAATAACTGCTTTTTTTTTTCTTTCTCTCATGCTTATTTAAATGATATAAAAGCCAAATCAATTGTTTTTACAATTTTTCTCTGTCTGTTTATCCAGTGTAATTTCTGGAATTGCTTAACCAATTTTAATGCAGTTTGCACCAAAAGGTAGTGTGTTTCATCAGGCATAACATAGGCTACTATTTTTTTCAAATTATGTATAATTTTTCTTTTTTATTAAAAAGTTTTCTTTTTTCATACAAATCGCAAGATTTATTCCAGTCTGAATGACATTTGTACACGTGACCTTCAAAACAAGGGGAAAATTACTATGTGTATGAGTGTAATAAAAATTGCTCCTACCCCTCTTTTCAACTCTTTAGACTAAAATTGAATGTACCCTCTTTCCATTTTTGGTTTAAAGGATAAGGAAACTACATTAAATGTTTTCTAAAGCTCTTAAATTTTCCTCTTTAGTGCTTTTTTAAATTAATTTCAATAACGCCATTATACTTTCAGTAATTGCAGATCAAAATTATTATTGAAAGTTTGCGGGGAGTATGCAATTATGTATCTGTGTACAGTTACCTGTAGCAACAACGATGGTAGCAACTGTGTAGTAAGGAGGGGCAGGAAGAATAGGGATACACCAAAGATAGGATTAGTGTCTAACAGACAAATACCATAAATGAATACTTAGCCAATGCAGGGTACTTCAGCAAGTACCTGAATAATAATATTGCATATCCTAATATTACTCACTAAGATGTAACATTTCAGGTGTTTTGTTGTGGAATAGTTTTGAAATTTATCAAATATTGTGAATCAGGTTTAATTTATTTAATCCGTATGTAAAATAAAGTTAACTTTTAATAATTACATTATAATTATTCTAGTTGTACAGTTTTTAAATATTATGATGTTTCTAACTATTTCTCGTGTACAATTCAAATTCTTCTATAAAGTAGTAGTATTCTATAATTTGTTTTATAACCTTTTTAATGAGCAATTGAAGTTTCCAAATTTCCCTTTTTCTAAAATTATGCCGTGGAGAGCAGGTACATGCAAATGTATGTTTGTATGTTCTTTAAATTCAACAACCTTCCAAGTTCAAGTATAATAATTTTCATGTTGGGGAAAAAGAAAAGAAGAAGAAGAAAGGGGAAAAAAAAAAAAGCAATGTTTGAAATGTATAATAATTCATAGACGTACAGCCAGTGTATTTAATATACCATTCAAAATTTCCACCACCATGTGATACAGGTTTGCTGTGATCAGGGCTCAGTCTTCTGCCAATATGAAATTAATTTTACCATTTTGAATGAATTCTTTTGTACAGAGTCTGTGCAAGAATCACTTGAGCGGAGGTTTGGGCGTGTGGGTGGACGCATTCCAGTCACTCCTTCAGAGGCTTTCCAGAAAAGGATTTCCGGAGCCTCAGAGAAAGATATTGTACACTCTGGCCTGGATTACACAATGGAACGTTCTGCTAGGGTAAGTTCCTTTTTGTTATTTCCAAGTCCTCACTTCTTGTTCTTAACAGGATTTCTTCATTATTGCTGAAGGTATGTAGTTTAAACCAAAAAAAACTCTGGAAATATTGCTAGTCTTGGCATTTCATGATTAAATAATCTGTGGAAATATAACATTCAAGGACAGAGGTCTTGAAGCCAGGATCTTCTTTTTATAATGTTACTAAAAGTTTCATGATACCTTTCTCCTGTCGATACAAACATAAGCCCGGCAATTTTTTTAAAAAGTGATAAAAAATAATCATCATTTAGATATTTTAAAGGAGATGCAGATCTGTCAATAAAAGTTCAGCCATCCAAAAGAGACAAGGCCTTGGCGCAAGACAAGAAACTTTGTATTCAAGCCACATTTCATCTGGAGTTAAACAGTTGGTAGAGCCATATTTATTTGTAATCCATTTCCCGTTCCCAAACACATTCCCATCTTTTTAGCAGTGATGTAATTTTCAACTTAGAAAATATTTTAGTTGATTTTTTGAATGTCTCGATTTTACTTGGCCAACCAGAAGTATTCTGTGCTCTGTAGTGTCACAATTGAAAAAGGCTATTATAGATTCAAATAGCATGATACTTTTTTAAAGTAAGCTAGGCCCCTACTATTACATTGAACAAATGAAGAACTAAAAAAGTTGTTATCAAAGAATGCTTCATATACACTCTGTAAAAAATCAGAAATCCACAAAATATTATTTTATGATATTCCTATTCTTCTAAACTCATGAAATGAGGGAGGTTTACATATTCTGAAACAATCATTGTTCTTGGTGAATGCAGTTTTACAGGTTTCTGGAAATATAATTAAAATGTGGATTTACCTAGATCTGTTCATAAATTTTGTAGGATGACCTGCTGTCCATGTTAACTTTTTAATTTAATGTGTCATTTACAATCATCATTGCTGGAAAGTTTTTGTAAAAAGACAAACATGATGGATGATTGATGAACATTGCGCTTATTTAGATATACCTTTTTATTTTAAAATAGTTAGTCTTCAAATTCTAAACCTTCTAACTATAACTTCTTGATGTAAGGATATCCTTATATTGTTTTGTAAATGGTCGTGAAAATAGCAAAGTGTTTAGTGGTTATTCTGTAAATCTAGTAAATAATAGCATGCAAAAACACATCTCACCTTTGACCTTTTCAAGAAAAATTATAATATTTGTTTTTGTAGACATCATATTGCTTTCTAAATTAAAATACTTAACGTTTCAAACATGTAGATTCAGAATTTGTCTTTTAAGTAGAGAATGTAAAGAAAAAAATATAGAAAATTGTTTTCTGTTACTATTTTACTCGTATATCTAGATTTATATTTATTTACACAAAAAACAGTAAAAACTGTATATGACGTGTGGGGGAGAAGATAACATTTTCTTGAGTTCCAGAATCCCTTCCTATCATTTTAACAATTAATAGTTGAAATATAAGTAAGTTTTCTTTAAATAAACAAACAAAATCAATTTTTTTTAAATTTAAAAGGCCTTCAGATTTGCAACATTTGAAAAACTAGACATTTTTGTTCCAGAGTTATAGAAAACTTCTTTGCAACAGTAAACTAATTGTAGATTTGATTTTTCTGCTTTGCTAATAAAATAGTAACTCACCCCCAGCTCTACTCCTACCACTACAAGCAAAAGGAGACTTCCAAAAAACATGCACATAGTGAAGCTACATTTATGTCCAGAAGTAACACAAGGGGCCACCCAGCATTTGTTCATTGTATTGGGGAAACTAGACAATAACATGATCAAAATGGGGGTCATTAACCCAGAAGCTAAAACACTTTATTACAGGCATATTAAGTCTTTTTAAAAAATTGTACAATACAAATGTAAATTAATTCATTATATATCACTGTTTTGTTAAAATAAACATTATTTTTCATTTTGATGATCAGTATAGTCTAATTTTATAAAAAAGTTGTGCAGCTGAGAAAATTTCACTTTTAACTTAAATTTATGTACCAACTTTAATTGTTTAATCATCTTGCAATGTGTTCTAAAGTAACGAACATGTATTGTACCAGGATTTCAGATAATGAACTGTTGATACTAACACTTGATGAACGTGATTTCTAGACCATGTGTTGTAATTATAAATATCAGCATTGCATGAAAATATGTTACCACTGTTAAGTAAGTCAGTTTTGACAAATATTACAGATTCAAAAATTTAGGCAAGGCAATGGTAAGATTCCAAGTTCAGTGGAAAGAGGCTTGCAGGGATCATACAAATAGCAATTTTTCATTATTCGAATAATTTTCTTCTGCAATCTAAATGTCTGGGTATTACATGATAAGCTTCCCCAGAATATTATGCCATATCTCAGGCAGGAATGTACATTTACAAAACACACGCAAGAAGCTGCATGAAGGCTGACAGAATTGGAAAGAATTTTGAATGTGTAACATAATGAACTTAATTTAGTGTTTAATTCTGTTAAATGTACATTCCATTTGAGGTTTGACTGAATTGGGAGACCTAGAAATTTTGTTACTATGTCAGCTAATTGTTAATTGTTGATTTTCAATGGAGCATGTGTTTGATGATTTGAAATGAAAAATGCATTGAAATCGTTTTTCCTTCCTTATATATTAATTTATTATTTCAAAATAATTTGGAGTTTCGGAAATCATACTATTTATTTTTTCTTTCCTGCAAAGAACATTCATGTCATCGGCAAACTGAACTGCTCTTCCACTTTTAATAACAAGAGCATATCATTTACGTGTAACAGAAAGAGGATCAAACCTTGCGGGACCCAGTGTTCAATCTGTAACAAATTGGAAAGATAAGTAAATAATGTCCTTTCGTGAGAGTACAGTATTTCTACTATTTGGGATCGATGTTTAAGGTACAAAGTTATCTAATCTAGGGCAATACCACACCTTTCACATGAAGGTAATTTTGATAGCAAGATGTTATGGTCTTGGTTAAAAGCTTTTGAAAGATCTAAAAATATTTTCATGTCAGTCCATTGGTGAAGCAACATGTTTAAGAAAAGAGAAAATGGCAGTTTCTGTACATTTTGATTTTCTACTTTGAACAAAACTAGAAATACTAGGGCTTCAAGGCATTGCGGGCCAATGGACCAAATCATATTTATCAAACTGAAGACAAGTAGTTGCTGTCGAGCACACTAAAGAAAACCTAATTTCCTCATATTATTCCTGCCCTCAGATGATAAATTGTGGAGTCCTGCTAGGATCCATCCTTGGGTCAATACTATTCCTTATATACACAATTGACATGGCTTTTTCTTTAAAGATAAAAAAATAATTTGTTTGCAGATGACACAGACATAATCATCAAAGCAAAAATGCAATAATCGTTAGAAAAAGAAAGTCACAAAACCTTGCATGCACTAGTAAAACGGTTTCGAGGCAAGAAACTCATCATAAACACCAGCAAGTCAGTCTCTGTAAATTTAATGAACCCCCATTCAAAGAAAAACTCACAGCATTTGCTCATAAATAATAAACCATGAAACTATTAGTCATGGGGATATCTCTTGAAAATACCTTCTTCGGTATCAATCCAAGAAAACATAAAATGGAATGCTCAATCTCAGAAGCTCACCAAATCTTGCTATGCCCTTCATACCCTCAGGTCAAGCTCCAACATTGAGACACTTGGAACAATTTATTTCGCATATGTGCACTCACACCTAAAATAGGAGTAATATTCTGGGGAAATGCCCCTGAAAGTGCTCACACATTTATTATCCAAAAAAGAGTACTGCAAACAATGACCATTACTCATAAATTGGAGTCTTGCAAACCCTTGTTTAATAAACTAAGGAATCTTCTTCTACCATGGATGTATATATTTGAAATAGTGGTCTTCACAAAGATTCTTGTGGAAAACAAAGACACTTTGGCTCTAAATCCTGATGTTCACAACTACAACACTCATCCAAAGGATAAGCTATATGTTCCCTTCTCTGAAACTACATTTTATCAAAAAAGTACTCTAATAGACAGCATTACACTTTACAACAAAGTAGGTGAAAATATTAAAGACATAAACACAATTCATACATTGAAATGTAAATTGATAGCTTTCCTGCTTAATATGTTCTACAGTGTGAAGGAATATTCAAATCACAACAATATTTCTCTTCAAATAATATAAATATATAAAAATTCTTATCCCATTTAATTTTCTGTTTCATGTTAACTGTTTCGAGCTGAAGTAAAGCAAAAAGAACTGACATATCCCATCCTTCTTATGTTAATTGCAATTGGACTAATGTAGAAGGAGAATGTCTGAACCAAATTTATATTTCCTTCACCCTGGATTTCCGATATGCATAAGGTTCTGCAGTAAGACTAGGTGTAGAAATAGAAAAAATAGTTGGCCAAAACCTGCCTCCTACTCCCCACCGCTTCAAGACATTTAAACATAGAATATACTAATATTGTTAAATTATGTGTAGTTGTTACCATAATTTATATCGTGTAGTATTATTAATATTATTAGTATTGTTGTTATTCTTCTTATTTTTATTGTTAATATTATTAATAATAATATTAATATTTATTATTATTATTATTATTATTATTATTATTATTATTTTAAGTAGTTGCAGTAAAATGACCATAACAAGTACGTTTTACTTTTACTTTAAACAGGAAACACTACAAATCTTGAAATGTTAAATTATTTTGCTACTAAAAATAATTATCTACTGTATAATATCTTCATCTATCTCTAACAAGCATTGTAGTTTAATTCCTAGGCCAATGACCCCTTCTCGATCAAGTTTTTTGTCCAGTTTTACTGGTCCTTTGAGCAAAAGCTGAGATGACCCTTTGTTTTGCTTCTGAACAGTAATGTAACTTCACTCTCTCCACCTAAGACACAGATTTGTTTTTACACAATGTTCTAATTTCGTGTGTGATTAAAGTATTACTTTTCTGTGAAATGTTTAATTTCCTCTTTTTAAGAGGAAAGCAGGCGTTAAAGTGGAATTAAAGCTTTGAGAAAAATAGATTATATTTTTCATTTGTGTCCACAGCGTTGTAAACTGTCTCCCATAATTCCTTCAGCACGTATTCCGTAAATAATTTGATGTTAATTTACGCACTCTGTGCATAAGTGCATAATACACATATGTGCTCTGCACGTATGTGTATTATTTATTATGTTGGTGTTCATATTATTAGTAATTGTAAGAATTTGTACATCATGGTCACTGTAACCTAGATTAGTAGTTTTTATTTTATATCTAGTTGTGATTTTGTTAATTATAATTTGATCTCTTACTTTTAAATGTGTTCCTTGTAGGTACATTCAATGTAATATCTGAATTAAAAGAATGAAGTAAATTGAAAAACTGCTCTTTTTCACGGGATTTGCTCAAAAAATCAATATTGTAATCTCCACATACTACAATGTATTTATAAGATAGATTACTAATTTATAATAAGATTACTAATCAGAGTTATCTCTAGATTTTCTAAGAAAATGAAATTATCTAGAGGTCACTTTGTTGGAGGTCTATAGATGCAAAGTAAGAATGTTTTGAGCGTAGTAAGTTGTACAAGTGTTATTTCAAAAACTTTTTCAACTGCTTATAAATTGAGTTCTGACCAGAAGTTGGAATCAATATCATTTCTTACATAAATACACAAACCTCTGTATGCAGGGCTCCCATCTGATTCCCATGCTCAACAATATGATCCTGCAAGGTAAAAAACTAGGAATTTGGCGTGTGTTATCATGTGTAGGTCATTAAGAGACTACCGATGTTCTGTAAAGCAAAAAACCTCTTTTTGGCCTAGATCACACTGTAATGCATTTTTCTCTTCTCAAATGATCTTGATTAGATACTAAGTCCTGCTTTCTTGTATTTGTGTTTTAACTATCTATTTCTAAAGTTCGAATTGTTTTCATGTATTTTGAAATCCGTCTAATGTTGCATCACACTTCTTGTCAAATTCTTGTAAGAGAAGGATGAAAATTGTAGGATTTAAGGATGTTTTTCACATTTATTTTCTGAATAGATTATGTTCTTCTTATTAATTATTCATTTACTTTGAAACAGAAACTGATATGGTTACATAAAGAGGGTTGCCAGTCCAAAAGCAAAACCAAAATCATATTAGCAGTTCTTTTAAAGTTGTTGGAGGTTTGTAGAAAAATTCTAGCAAGGCAGGAGATTACAGAATGACACAAGACTCATTTCCAACTAAGCATAGACCTAGAACACCTATATTTGTTATTGGCTTATTCAAGCATTTTTTTTCTGCAATCATTTTTCTTTTTTGAATGTTGACCTGCTCCAATTTCTTATTTTTATTAGCATTAAAGAATAATGAAAAAATGTATGAGGCATTTCAAAAGTTTGTATTGACCTATTGATATTTTTACTTGTTAAGAAGTAGCCTAAGCAAGACATCATGTTTTATTCATTAATTCCCTGTTTATAATTTTGAATTTTTTGTCAAAGATTTATGCTCTTGTGCTCATTGAACCATCTGTAATCTGCATCCTGTTTCACTAATGCTATGAATAACATTGTATTACCCAAGAGAAGAAATAATATTCATTCCATTTCAATTTTTCCTCTCTTTCTCATCTTTCATTGATTTATTTGCTGTTTCTTGTGCTGTTATGCCACCTTGTTGTTGTCCTCAATTTGTCAATTAAAATATACTTAGTTCTGACTGCTCTAACTATTTTATTTTATCAAACGATCTAGTTATTTTTTAATTTTTTACCTGTAGTTGTTTTTGTCGAAGCTGTTATTTACAGTTTATTGTAAAGGGCACCAGGAAAGTCTCTCCGCACTGAGATGAATCAAGGGCTCCTATTAAAAATTGATTATGATTGAAGTAAGTAGGCAATGCATGTTTTCTTTTGTTACAAGCTGCAGCTCGCACGCGCAACTTTACTTCTATTGCACACCAGCAAGGTGCTACTGCAGAGACACTTTCCTGACCATCTATATAAATAGCAATATACTATTTTAGACCGTTTTTCCCTCCTTTCTTTGTAACAATATGATAAATATTGCATTTATTTATTAAATGGATGAAAAAAATGTAATGACCCATCCTGTCTCCATCATCCTTATCTGGACCAATAATGCTTTACCGTCCTCTTTTTGTACCTTCATTACATTGAAGCTTTTAATAGCATATGTTTCTCAAATTGCTACATTAAAGCACATTTTTAAACTGAAAATATGTACCCTGAAGAAGGTACATCAGTAGAATTTATTGTTTGATGTTATTCTTCACATTCTCTCACACTAAAGATTACCATAAAAATGATCATCGATCATGAAATAAATTATATCTTTTGCAACTCATTTGGCTCCTTGGGAAATATTGTTTATAAGCTTCAATTATAAATTCTTCATGACTTTTCATTGTAATTTTTATAGTTTTTGTTTTTTTCTATCAACAGATTGTTTCATTTTCTTATATTCTTCTTCATCTCTCACTCATAATTCAATTCAGATACAGATTAATAAATTTAAAAAATGTTGAAATGTATAATCTGACATCAATATTTTCTGTTTACAGGCTATCATGAAAACAGCCATGAAATTCAATTTGGGCTTGGACTTGAGAACAGCTGCTTATGTAAATTCTATTGAAAAGATTTTCACCACTTACAAGGAGGCAGGCTTGACATTCTAATCCAGCCAGCAATTATTCTTGTGTGTTCAGCCTTTCTGATCACCACCATTTCACGTTTCTTTGAGTCTGTAATTTCAGACTCAGTTTGTGCATGAGGACAAGCTATACAAGATCACGGAAGATGAAATCTAGAGTAAACTAAAGGTACATCTTGGTTACATTGAGTGGTGGTGGCGGGTTGGCATAGTAGAACAGAACATGTATTTATTTCCCTGAACACAGGACCTGTCCATAGATCAGATGAGAATCATCTGTCAATGTCTAATTATGTGCTCGTTTATGATTTTTTGTAAGTATTCAGTAGATTCAAGAAAAAGCATTACTTTCTGTTCACTCTCTTTAAGTGTAAGTAGTGTAATTTGAGAACAATTTTCAACATAAAGAGTGAAGTTGTCACTATTGTGTCCTTTGTTCTGAATGAAGAACAAAATTGATCAGACTCGAACTACAAAGCAACTGTCAGTAATATACTAATTGTGATATTAAAGATTTTATGTTTAAAACGTAATGAAATTGTATTACTTTTATATCTCTTTAATAGTCCCTACTTGCATTTTGTAGGACACTGTAGAATCCAGAGCAATAATTTTTTTTGTAAGTTCAAACAAGTAGTTCTGTGTTTGAATCCCTTTCCCTGAGAAGCCTTGCCTAGAGCTTTTACTTCTTCATTCTGACCTTCGTTATTATTTTTCCACTTCAACAATTCTGAAAACGTGGAAGCCCATTTTGAGCAAGTAGCATATACATTCATGTGGTCAAATGCAGACTTCCTTTTACATCTAGTACAAATTCTCGTTCCATAAGAGTGTTAACTCTCATTCTGGCATGTAGTTAAGACTGTAATTGGTATATGCAACAAAACATACTTTTGGGCTCTTCCAATCAGTTCAAAGTGGCCTATAAGAATGATTTTGTAGAACATGAGGGGATGCAGAAGAAGGTAAGTGCTGTTCAGTTCAGAGTTATCAAATCATTTTTAACCAGTAAGAGAAAGCAAAATACACATTCACATTTACTAACTTGCGAATAAAAGCAAGTTTTATGTGGACTCTAAACACAATCAGTTTATAAACCATAACCTTTATAAACTGCTTTCTGCTTGAAGTATGCTAATAGTTCAAATTCTCTCACACGCCGAATACCAAGAATCATGTTGAAAACTGGGAAAACATTGAAAGTCATGGAATTCAAAGCACAGAAAATATACTATGAATTGTCACATCCTGCATTTGAAGTGAAAGTGTACTCTGTTGAAAGGAAATAATGTGTGTTAATGTGATGTGGGTTATATATGGCAAGTATTAAAAGATGAGAAAGAGTAACATTCCTTTTAAAATGTTATGTGCTATTACCTGTGTAATAAGAACAACTCAAAGATGTTAATTATTAGATTTTTCATAATTGCTAAATTTTTTATTTAGCATGCTGCTAAATTTAAAGGAGAGAAAACTGGAAAACAAATTTAGATGCCAGTGGGCACCCCAGTGTTATTACAGAATTTATTTTTATTTTTTAACTTATTTGAGGAATAATGTTCAATTACTGAGATCTTACATACAATTCAAACTTCAATTGATGAAATTTGTTGCCAACCTAACAGTGGTAAGTTTTTATAAGATGTGTTGCCAACTGGTGGTGATTTGGGTGCCCAATATCACACATATAATGGCAGTGAATTGGGTGAGCGTAGAGAACATTGCGGGAAACTTAAGAGATCTTTACAGTGTTGTCATCAACAAAGACTTGTATCTAACAATATTAAATGTAATAAATGTAACAAATGTAATGTAATAAATATACATTGGACAGGCCTCAGGATATTTTATGTTAATTGTGAAGAATGAAGGTCAGAGCCTACCTTATGAAATTGAACATATGCTTCAAAGGCTCAGATGATACTTAAAAGTATTCAGCAAAAAAAGTACTTCGGAATACAATGCATTGGCAAGACTCATAGACACTTACTTACAAAAATACACCAGTGAAGTTATTATTTATTAAGTGTCTTCACACTTCATTTCTCAGTCCATATGCTCATACTATGAAATCGGTTGAGCAAAAATAAATGTCAGGCCCCCCTAAGTTCACAATAACTAATTTTAGTGTCCTTTATTGCTTATTTAGCTTATTGGTTTTATTGTTAATTTTATCATCGTAATAAACACTGCATGCTATCTTTTGTGACTTAAAAGAATAGTACCTTGGGTTACAAATGGGAAAGTTGGTAGTTACAAATTTTTGTTTATTGAAAACTATAATTTATGTCTGATTACTGAGAATATTGCTTTTTGAATGTGAAATATTCGTAAGATCATTACTGTTTTTCTTCTCATCCCTTAATTATCCATTATACCCTAGTGTATATCTCTCTGTCAACTAGCCTTGTGTCGTTGATTATGACTTAAAATGTACTAGCTCATTTATTGCAAGAATAATTGGTTGATATAATGTACATCTCTGCTTGAGAGTAGAAGTAGCTCTAGAAAGTAAATAAAAAGGAAAGAAATTTGATCACTTTTCTGACAGAAGGATATGTCTGTGACAAACCTTTTTCTTCACTTCTATACATCCAAGAAATTTTTATTAATATATTGAGGACTGTCTAAAAACTGTTTTAATTTTGTTCATATAACTTTTGTGCTAGTGATTATTAAAAGTGAGTATTGGCAAATTTCCAGATTTAACTTATTAAAGCAGTTTACGAATTCAGTGTACTCCATTCGGAGTGAAATAGGAAAAGAAAGTGACTTAAAAGATTGGTTTTCGTACCACCGAACATATTATTCTGAGACTAATTTCTCATAATAACTATGTTTCTTAAGTTTGATTGCAAACGGTTCTCATCACACTTTTCTTTGAACTTCTTAATTGTTGTATCAGTTCTTGTCCTCTTTTTTAGTTTTAGCAACTTCTTTATGCATTTTATTAAATTGCAAAAATACATAATGCTTTGAATAATGATCTGGAATAAGATCTGACCATGTTTATCATACTCCCCTAGGTATTGACAACTGCGTATTACACAAATTTCTGGGTGAAGACACGCACTTTTGTCAATTAATTTGATTTCATCATTGTATTGAATAAAATCTTGCTGAAAATCATCATTTACAATACAAAATAATAAGATGTAAGGTATAAAAATAAATCCAAATTATAAGTTAGAGGGAGATTGAGGAAATATGAAAAATGTTCGAAGAGGATGAGCACAAAGTCTCAAACATTGCTTTAAAATTTTTTTAAGGTTAAGGAAAGTCAGACTTCAAATCCAACGAGATTTTGAAATAGGTAAAGAAAATTTTATGTTAAAGCTAATGTCTCTGTTGATATTAAAGGAATTATCAATAAGCCAAAGAACAATGAAGATAAAAAATTAATTTAATGGTATATAAATTTGTAATGGTAAAGTTGACTGGCTGCCACTTTGCCTGTAGGTTTAATAGGCAAAAATACCGAGGATTCTGCAAAATTGGTTGTCATATCATATTAAGGTATTAGTAGACTTGAAAACGTGAAACCACAAAAATGCTTTCAGGAAAGTAGAGATGTAACTTTCAAATTTTTCAGCTTGTGTAAACAAAAATAGAACTTGCATAGAAGAAAGAGTTGTCTGTATTAGGATAGTGTTCAAGAATTTGTTTAGATACTGAGAGCACATTATTCAATACTGGAATATATAAATGATTGTCTGTGAATAATCTCATAGCATGAAAACTTTATTTCAAATATTATTTCCACTTTTTGAATTCAAGATTCTGCATCATGTTTGTCAAGTGAATTAGGATGTAAAAAAAGATAGAAAAGTTACCTACTTTTTTCATTGTATTTGCAAATTAGCCTCAGTATTAAACAGTTATTTATTTAGAAGTCAAAGGTAACTTTGGGGATGTAATGAAATTAAACTTTTTCCATGTATGGAATTATTCTATTTATTTATAAAAATATCACAGTTTATAAACCCTTATATTGCAATATTTTTACAAGGTGCATATTCTTAAGATTAGCAATGGGCTACTAACATCAATATACACAAGCAAACAGCCATTTATATAACTTGAAAGGAATTTTCAGTAAATGCATGAACATCCACCCTAGTTTGAGAACAATGAAGAATCCAAAGTTTATTAGTTTAAACATATATTGTGTGGAAGAAGAGTGTCTATTCCTTTAAACAAAGTTTTGAATAGCATTCTACAAAATATGAGTTAAATAAACATTTGGGTACAATTCTTGCTCTATTTAATGGTTTTACATCCTGCACTAAATTGAGCGAAATATTTTGAATGCTGATAGGTGGTGTTACTTTCTGAATGGTGACTATCCTATTTTAGCCCTAAATATTAAATTTCCAGCATGGCAGGAGATAACATTTTAACACTGAATTGTACAGATAAAATTAAATAAAATATAAAACTAATAATAAATAAAGATCTATTTGGAAGAATGGGGAAATATACAGTAAAATTGTAAATTAATCCCTCATCCAAGGGAGAAAAACCCCTGCAATCCATCTCAACGCCGAGTGCTAGTTCAAGAAACTTCCTGCAAGTTTTCCATGGAAATGTTTTAAAATAACTTGCAGTTCACCAAGAAACCAGTACTGCTGCATAAAATTAATATTTGGTGTCATGTGCTTTTTGAAGAAGTACATTTAGCAAAGTTAACCGCAATTGAATGGCAAAATATTGCAACACAAAAATTGGTTGTTTGAAAAGTTACATTTCATAGAGCATATTTCTATTCAGTCTAGAGGTCAAATTTTTATTTCAATCTCAATAATTTTCTTAGTCTAAAAGTAAGCCTTCTCAGAAAATATACAACTTTAGAGGTTCCTTCAAAATAATCTTCAAACGGCAACAAATTGGATATTTGTCTTCAGGAAACATCAATTTTGTTTAAGCCTTTCTACCCTCACAAATTGATATCATTCAGTCTGTGACCAATACAAAACCCTCATGTCATTAAGTAGTGAAGTGAAGATGTTAAGTTTCACTTCAGCAAAGTTTCACCCAGCACTTCTGCTCAATGAAACACCTACAATGGTGCTTGCACACATTTACAGTGTGCAAAAATGTTCTTCAATATCAACAGATTCCTTTACACCAAGAACATCTTGTTTCATTATGCTCAATGCGAAAAATTACTTTGCTTTTTACAAACACAATACTGTTTAAGCACAAGTCTTAACATTTTCTGTTGATATTGAAGTTCAACCCCATTCTTCTTGCAGAACTAATAACATGTTACTGTGTTTTTCTTTTCTCAATCACTGCTCCATCAATGTCTTCTTGAGGCATATCCTTATCGCCCCAACCCCAGACTTCATGGCTGCCATCTCCAGTGCGCTCCACTCGCCTCTGAATCATAGAGACGGGAACTGTCTTCAAGTCATAGGCCCAGCCAATGCGAGCAAAGAAGTCAATGAATGCAGTAGTGAAATTGGCACGATAGTTGCCCAGCTCAGCAGCTTTATAATCCCAAGGAAAAACATGGTGATAATTGTGCCAGCCTTCTCCCATAGCTCCGATAGCCACTCCAAGATTCTCAGCAGGGTTGATGTGCCTGAAAATTGGAAGCATACATTGAAAAATCTTTTTACATAGTACATGTACATTGTTAAAGTATAAACATATCTTACAGGTTATGATAAACGTCTGTGCAAAGTAAAATGACTTAAAATGGACATTTACAAATAATTTGAATAATTTCTTACTTGTCATAAGGTTGGCTGCCCCACATATGAGCAGCACTGTTCACCAGCCAAGTCATGTTGAGTGTGAAGGTGTAGCGGAAGAGCGTAGCTACAAACCAGGCATTTGACCATGTCTCATTCCACAGGTACACAGGAATCATTGTTGGAATAAGGAAGCATACAATGGGCATCAAGATAAGATAATACCTGCAAATGAACACGTGATAAATGAACGTTCTTGTTTATAATTGAGCTACGTTAAAAGTAATCGAGGACTAGAACGGGAGAGGAACTCACTTCTTCTGGAACATGACGATTTTGTCCTGCTCGAGGTCGTGCATGTCAATTCCCTTGCCCTTTTCTTTGACGTCCGGGTGCTTGCGCACCAGCAGCCAGCCCACGTGCGAGAAGAAGAAGCCGCGAGTTGCGTTGTGCGGGTCTGCGTCGGTCTCGCTGAACTTGTGGTGCACGCGGTGGTCGCGCGCCCACTCGTAGATGTGGTTCTGGAAAGCCAGCGTGTTGCAGAGCATGAGGATGACACGGAGGGGCCACTTCGCTTTGTAGGAGCGGTGAGCCCACAGACGATGGGCACCGCCTGTGATGCCTACGCCGGAGACTTGGTACAGGAAGATTGCTGCAACAACGGAGAAATCTTCGGTAAGAAACGTTCCCAGAAACTAATTCTGAAGATATTTTTGTTGTAAGACAAGTTATTTTTCAGATTGTCTTTGTCTTCCCCCTCCCCCTACGTTTTAGAAGTTAGTCAAAGATTCCATACATGTCAAAATTCCCCTATCTTATAAATGAAAAAAACAAAAACAAAAAAAAACCAACAACAACATGAGTTCTGTATTTTAAAAACGTTATTCATAAGCTTCTTAAATGAAATAAGAGATGGCTTTGCTTAGTTTCTCAGATATCTTTTACCCCGGTGAATAAGCTGATGTTATGAATGCCTAAATTTTACAGGATAGCAAACAACATCTTTCAAATGTAGCTAATCAGGGATTCATGATATTCAAACTACACTATTTGTGTGTAGGTTTAGTTTGAAATCATTAATCCCTGACTTACAGCATCAGCTGATGTTTTTTTGGTTATGTAAAATTTAACCATTCACGATTTATCAGCTTATTCACCGGGGTCAAGGAATAAATTATTGTCCTATTTTTAATAAATAGTCAGTGCAACAAGTTCGTAAACTCGACTAAGTAAATAAATGGAAGAAAGTTTACTTACCGAAGATGGTAGTAACAATTTTGGCAGACGTGACCGCAAGGTAGGCGCCGTAAAGTGCTGCTAAATGCAGATAGATGAAGAGGATAACATTTCGCCAAACGATTTGTCGGCGGTAGGGCTCTCGAGGTTTCTTCACCTCCGGTGCATTAATTCCAGCCTGCGGGTCCTTCGCCGCAGACCCGATGGTGTCTCCTTCGAAAAGGACGCCCGTCGGCGCGCTCGTAATGTTGGGAGCCATTAGTACAGGAGGTCTAAAACTGAAATAAAAAAGAACGGTGAGGATTTTTTTGCCAATTGATTGGCTACGATGAAAGTGTGCAAAGCATCGAATACTGTTTATATTTTCCACAAAAAAAATTAGACAAAAGTTAACAATCTCCAATATCAGACTTCAATAAATAAACTAATTATGGAAATAACAATTCACTGTTCTTTCAATTAGGAGTTCCCTTGTTATTATAAACATCCGTATGTCTTACTTTATGAACACTATTCAGTTGGCCTTGCGAAATGCGATTGTTAAATTGTATTATTCGTATTTGTAAATGAACTGCGTTAATGATGGAAATTTAAACTACTAGGTTAACAATTGAGAACCTCTGAAGAGTTGTGACGTTGAAAGTTTCACTCTCAGGAAAAAATATAATACCAAAATATGTTGAAGTAAAAGAATGAGGAAAATTTCATCCTATCAAATTCGAAAAATCCCAGCTTTAAAAAAGACGTCTTCGGTAATGTATTTGAAAAAGAATTCAGAATGAGTATATCACGAAAGTAACTAATTTTACGTAAAACAATTGATGAAATGTCACGTCAAAACAATCTAGGAGTCGGTTGGTGTACCAAAGCTTCCATTAACCACGTTCCCCAACTCGCAAATCGTTCACTTCCCTTCGCAGAGTCGAGCGGGTGTCACGCGCCGCGCCGCGTCGCGCCGCGCCGTCGTGCAAGGCTTGTGGCGGCTGCCGTTGGCGATTCGCGCTACCTGATAGTCACACCAAAAACGCGAAGAGCGATTTTGTACTGCATGTCGTGGTGCGGGCGGAGCTGCACTGAGATCGACCCCGACGCCGCCGGCCGGTAGATGTCCACGGCGCGGGAGCGGAGTGGGACGAGTCGACCGGCGTTCCGCGCAAGCGCCCCTCCCCCCGCCCCGCCCCCGTCCCGCTCGTCCCTCGCTCGTATCGACTAGTTGGGCCCGAGACGAGACGAGTTGAGGCGAAATGCGACCGGAAGCAATTTTCTCATCTCGTTTAATGTCCCCCGAAGGCGGTGACGGGTAATGGTTTTCTTTTCACTTGATTAGGGGATCACACTTCCTGTTACGTGGCCTTTCTCGCTTACACAGAAAAGATGTCAGCATGTCGCAACGACAGATGCACGCAGTTATCTAATAATTTTATTTTAATTTAACCGGGTTAAGACGTTAGAAGTGCATGCAGATTCATTTGTCAATGACAATAATTAGGTTTGTATAACTTTCCTGCTTCTGGACTCTGTGAACTGTGGACTCTGTATCTTACGATTTTAAAACTGAATTAAAACTTTTATTGAAAATGAAGTGAATGAATGACTTTAAAGAAGATAAAATTTGAAGAACATTTTCCTTCGAAATGCTTTCTCCCTACCGCAGTGAAATTTCTGTCCCGACAGTAGCCCATTCTTAACTTGGTGCGTGTGCCTTAACTAGATGCCACTTTTTCCAGTCGCTTCAAGGAACTGCAGCTCTCATTTGCTCTGCCATTTCTGATAGATACTCCTCGGCCACCCACAGTTTTGCACGCAATGATAAAGGCAGATAAAAAATCTCATGGTTGCCATTTTACTGTCAAAGAAATTAAATTCTGTACTGGGAAACGAAAAATTATACTATATTTTCTTCGCTTCACAGTTTAATGATACATAAAAACCGAAATACCGGCTAGAGTGTGAACGAATACGAACACGACTTTCACCTTTAATAAATCGTTTTAACTTTTTTTACTTCCCATTTTCAGGGAGAGAGTGTAGGTGGCAGCCTCAAAATCATGAAAAATTATTTGTGCATCAAAACTGAACGTGGCATTATTTTTTATTATTATTATTATTATTATTATTATTATTATTATTATTATTATTATTATTATTATTAAAGCTATAGCATCCCTACCCAGGGCACAAACGTCCCACTCTCTGGTGGGGTACCTCACAAAAGAACTTACCAGGTGAGCCAAAACCTGGCGAAGTTAAATTGTTTTTTTTCTTCTATTTATCAATTCTGTTATAAAGATATATAGACCACTAATTCTTAACGAAACCTGTGCAGTTTCCAGTAGCACTATTTTTACTGTGGCTTTGTAATAATGATTTAATTAAAAATTTATATTTGCAAAAGTAAATTTATTTTACCATATTTGCGTGAGAGGTGTGTCTATGGTGGTAGAAATTACGTCGGATTCATGCAATTGTAAATAGAAGCAAGTGTCACTTTTTGCCTTATGTGTATTATATTTGCTGAGAGGATCGTGAGCGTCCCATAAAAGGCACTGTACACGACATCAACTTCGTAAACCGATCTTATCTCGAAATATAAACACGTGACTTTACATTATTTCACCGTTTACAACGAAAGTTAAATAAGAGCATTTCATAAAGCGAAGAGCGTGAGGTGTTTTGACTGGCGCTGCGGAGCGCGAAGATTAATCGACCAGGTGCTCGGCGTGAATGTGACGCAACGCTCAGCGGCTTCAAATCGTCTCCCAGCGAGGAGATGCAAGGCCCCCGTCGCAGCACCGAAGAGAGCGGCTCGCCGCGCCGTTACGCTGCTTTACGCGACTCGATGATGACAGCATACTTGCCCGCCCTTGCCCTTGCACTCGCCCTTTTCACGCGTACTAACCTCCCGGCACACAAAACAATTTGTACAGCCAAGTGTAGGTTAGTATGCCACGATGATTGATGTCTCGCTCGTCACAATGTGAGAGGTAGGCAAGCTACTCACGCTCAACAACGGACATCGCATTCTCATTATTGTGACTGGGTACGGAGAATATTAAGCCTTGGTTCTCTTGCTTCCCGGGGGGTTGGTATAAGAAAACTGGAATAGTTGCTGTTTTTTCGACTTGAAATATTTCGATGTGGCCGATCGAAAAGCTTAAAAATTGCATATGCTGCGGTTTAGTTAACATTAACTAAATTCTGTTTCTTGAACACATCTCTAGAATTGTCGAACTGGACCACTCGTAATATTTGCCAGGCTTTCACTTTGACTTCAAAGTTTGAAGGTGCTTTTATCGGGTAAATTGTAGTAAACTTCAGACTGCAAGATAGGAATTCTATTAAGGGTTCTTATAAAAACAATTAAGTATTTCCCCGAATGTATGTTAAATTTTACAATGCATTTGAAACGTGCAAGATCTCCATTTTCTCCCATTTAACACTGCACACGCTGGTGGGAAGGATGATGCATAGCCTCGCGCGTATTTTGTCACCAAGTAGACAAAGCAAAGCCGGAGGCGGAAAGGATGACGCCTAGCGGAAGCAGCACAACTCACGAGACCCCGCCATCAACAGCACGCAGTCTTTCACGGCGTGCTTTCCTACTTCGTATAGCGTGACAACTCTAAGTGCATATGAACCAATGAGCGATGGGCCGAGCTCGCGGTTACAGTGAAGAAAGGCGATAGGCACAAAAATAACGGATTAATGTCATTTCGCTAATGTTTACTCCAGTTTAGTGTACTAGGGTTACTTCAGTTTAGGGTAATAACCGGTTTTTCCTTTTTCACACGTTTGAGCACAAACATTATTGCATTGTTACAGAAGCAATACCATTTATTTAAATAATGGTTTAATAATATAAAACGTGCAATTTTTTATACATTAGAGTAACATTTCAATTATCACATGTGACCAAACAGTAAACCAAGAATGAGCACGAAAATTTAAGGAAACTTTTCTATTGTCTGACGACATGGCCTTTGTTACTTGTGTTATCAAGATAATCACATTTCAAAATACAGCTCAATACAAATTTCTTGAATTTATCTTTTTTTCATTACCAGTATTGTTCGTTCGTTGGATTTTAAAAAGCTTGTTCAAACCGAGCCTAATGAAAAATATGGCTTTTGGTTAAAACCGGTAAGTTACCGAATCTCGAGTCCACGTGGCATTCGGCTTGGCTCTGCCTTATGGCAAACGCTGGCGGGGCCACGCCTGGTCATGTGACGGCCATCACGCCGTGCGTGGGCCAGAGGCGGCAGTGCGTCATATATCACGTTGCAATGCCCCGCATCACGCACTCGTTGCGAAGCCATTAGTTTTCATGACGATAGACGTGCACGCGCTCCTTAGTGTAAGCTCGCGCTAGAAAGTCGCAAATAAACCTCACAGTCACTAATATGTGCTGAATAATCTTGGAAATGTTAATCGAGTTACGTAGAACCGCGAGTTCACAGGGTCCACGACAGGGATTCCTGGTCCTCAGTCGTTCCTTTCCTCGGAGGGTGATTGCCTGGCAATTTATTTTCACCTGTCAAGAACGTTATCGCTTCTGTTTTGTCGGAGATTCGTAACGCGCGCCATCTTCGCTTCCGAGTAGCAACTTGTTCTCATTCTCAAACCTAAGTGCATACTAAACAAGAACCAGAACGATGACATTACATTACAAATAACCACCCCAACGCTACACGGAGAAAGAATGATGAAGCGTCTTATCAAGATTTCGATGCCCCTTCCTCCTCTCATGCTGTATTGTTATTTTGCCACTTTTGAAAATGCAATTAAACATTATTTGTACCAATGAGGTCCCTTACAGATGACCTGTCTGAATAAAGAGAGAAGAGAGAGGTATATTTTCAGAACAGGTACGTGGAGTACTCTGGGAGAAATCCGATTTTAGATGCCTGCAGAAGCAACACCTCTGACGGATGTGTATGACAAATTGCGTTCCCGTAAAGCGAAACCCTCGTTCTCAATTTTGTCTGTCGTTCGGGAGCCGGTTTGGTGGCAGTGTTAAGGATGCTGTCGCAAACTTGCCAGACGGGCTTGATTGCCATTACCTTTCAGAGGTATAACGTATACCGTGTAACTTTAATACACATAAATGATAACGACACTTTTGAGCAAGGATTCTGGAGCCTCTGAATTCGTGTGGAGGATCCTCTTCACGAATTCATCGGTTCATTCACAATGTTCACCCTATGCTTTGAACTATTCATGTAATGGGATTTAGGGGTCTTGAAAGAGCTGGAGACGTTGACTGATTAGTGATTCCGGGCGTGTCAACTGAGAAGGTCATCAGATCCGCAAGTTCAGTGCATGACGTAATCGCGGGAGATGGCGATGATCTTCTTCCATTGGATAGCGAGATCGAGCGCCAACCTACCCGTCGGCTTACGGGGTTTACCCCAGCCAGCTATCTCCCACCAGCGGGGCTCCTCCTCAGCCGGAACAAGCTATAAGCTCCCGATGCGTGTGCCAGTGTAGTGCATTTAAGGTGTGTGAGTGTGTGTGTGTGGGTAAGAAATGAGAATAGGACAAGAAAGAGGAAGGAAAGAAGTTGCGCGGTCGCAGCCCGTTTCTTACTCGTACGGTTCTGCTCATACATTCGTGTAGAGTTGATCGGAGAAACTACAAAATCTACCGATCAGAGCCGCCGTTCACTAGAATTCTCGAGACAGCGTCTGAATTCTACCTAGCTACGTAGGTAGTGTCGAAAATCCTGTCACCGTCAGGACTCGAACCCAAGGACCTCCCGGTCAGAGGCACTGTAGAGACATTTGATTCCTACACCGGTCTGAAGTCATTGAGACCCAAGAGTGATGAACTACCAGTGGAATGCGAGGCAGGGGAAACGAGAAACAGAGAAACGTGCCGAATGCTCTCTTTGTGCCGGTGATGAAATCCAGGTTTCAACGGCGCAAGGCGTATTCGTAGGCGCTAGCCAAGTGCCCCCTCCACTGAGAAGCGACGTGTCGCGGGTGCTCGCGAAGAGGGAGGGGGCGATAGCAGTCGCTTCCGCAGCCGCGATAATTCCGGCGGCGCGGCGCCCTGACATCGACCGCGGCCGATGCGGGAAGGCCACGCAACGGCCGGCGCGCCGCGCCTCGCCACGCGGTCGGGCAGGTCGGGAGGCGGGGCGGCGCTGCAGAGCGATTCGGGCGCGCGGTCGCGTGATCGCGGCCTTCGTTAGTTCAGCGGCACCGCCCCCCCCCCTCTCGCCCGCGCCTTGGGTCGCCTCGCAGAAATAGAGCCCCTCGCCTCCCCTCTCCTACGCCCGCGCACCGGGCGCCCGGCAATCACCCGAGCATCACCAGGCGTCTGGCGACCAACCGCGAGCGCGTGCACGTGCACGTGATCCGTGCGTGCACGCGCCCACCCAACCTCTCTCCCTGTCCCTATCTATCTCTCTTTCTCTCTCTCCATCCCTCCCTGCGTCCTTCTGCCGCAGAGACGTGCTGCTTCTCTCTGCTGCAATACCGCCTCGCGGGCGCCGAACTCGCCTCGCCTCGCCTCGCCTCGCCTCGCCTCGCCTCGCCTCGCAACAGGCCGAGCTCCCCCTTCCGCTTCAAGCGGACGGGACGGACGGCAAGCCACGAGGCGCTCTCTCGCTAGCAGCAGGTGATACCTGCTGTATCACCCACGGGGCAGCTTTCCTCGGCGAGTTACCTCTAGCGAATTAACGTGGTACATGGTAGCTAGGGGATACATTCCGAAACAAACTTGTTTTACAGACCCTTTCTGTTAATATAATATTTAACAACCCCTTCAGACAAGAAACAAATAAATTGTTTGTTACTTTAGAAATAATTCTGAAAACCTATAACGTTTATCAAACGTGATAAAAAAGGTGAAAGAAAATTAAAATTTATTTTATAAGTGGTTTGGTCAATTAATTTTTAAGCAAAGCATTATAATTTATGTCATTTACTTTCTCCCTGCCGTCGAACAACGATTTTTAAATATTTCCCTTGTGCATCCGCCGCGCCCCTTTAATTTTATGCGATCCTTCCTCCCACCCCTTTCAATTTAATTTGAGGCTTTTCTTCCTTCAATGCTATTGGGAAGGGAAAGCAATCCACTGTGCTTTCTCGTCAAAGAGCAGGATATACCTTGCCTGCAGCTGCAATGCTTGAGCCTCAAGTAAGCTTCCTCCCTAATGCGGGGGAGCAGGAGGATCGCGACCTTCCTGACATTTTTTAAGGGGCCCCGAAAAGCCTCACCTAAGAAAAAAGTCCTTATTGTGTTCAATCCATTTTTAACGCGACAGTTTGGGAAATTGTTATACCTCCTTTGAGGCAAGAGTCTCTCCAGGTAATCAGGTAGCTGTGAAAATTGTTTAACGTAATTAGTTGTATTTATTAATTATACAAATAGTCATAATTCCATTTTCATTGTATTTTGGTATTAACTTACTAGTGAAAATGTCATTTGTAAATTTAAAAAAGTTAAATGGCGAGGAGGTGCCAAAAATGTAGGCGCCCCCTGATCTTGTTTTAGGCTGCGCACGCCCACTCTTACTCAATATTTTCTCAATACCTAACTTCTAGGAGTAGAAAAAACAAGTGTGAAACATAAGTTATAAAGATTGGAGACTGGAATACTTTAACAAAACTATTAAGCTTTCAAGATTGCTTTTCGTCAGGAGAACGAGAATTATTTTATTTAATAACCTCTTAAAAACTAGAGAAATATTAGAGAGTGTACCAAATTAACAGTTTAGAAGCAACGACTATTGTCACAGTCATTACGAGTTGTGACACGGTCAATGCTATATTCAACCGTAATGCCATCGTTTGCCGCAAAGATGCAAATGTCGCGAATTTGAATAATATATACGAGTTACAGTTCTTGTAAAGCAGCAGACCAAAGACCCTGACTTTTGAATACAATGTCGCTCTTATTTCAGCGTATGATGTGTCTCATTACATGAGGGCAAACATATCCTGTGTCGTAACAGTTAATGTAGGAAGATTATAATAGTGATATTTAATGAACTCTCTGATATTTCATTTTCAAATAAAGTGACGAAAAAGTACCAGTTTTACGTTACGAAACATCGCGTTGAATCCTATTGAATCGATTAGCGCTGCCAAACTGCTGCAATTGTAATGGTTAGGTTTCCCAAAGGGGATATTAAAGGCAGCTGATATTGATCACGCGGCAAAGGGAGGTATTCCATTATTTATTCAAGAGAAATGAAAAAAGTTGCGTTGAACTGAGAAATGTTGAAGTCCAAGTGCCGTTCCAAATTGATTTTTCAGATCGCGTTTTTAAAGCTTGTTTGGGAAGGCAGTACGTCATTTGAGGAACAGAATAATATTGATTTGACAGAAATGTTCTAATACGAATGGATATATTATGTCGCGTCCTTCCTTCAAAAGTAACAAAAATAAAATAAATTTCAGTTTTGGAGTTGGCATCATGATTGAGTTGTATAAACAATACTTGACCAATCAGCAAAAATTAAATATTTCACTTTATAATTTGCCGCTACAAGGCAGATTGTTCAGTTGTGTAACTTTTGCATGAAGGGTACAATAAGAAGTGCTATTTATAGGTGTTCATAAATGAAAAGGTGTTACTAAATTGAATGCTAAAAGCATGCCAGACCCATTGTAATAGATTCAGTTAATTCAAAGAATCGAGGAAGAATATCTTTTCTCTGAACTGTGTATTCTTTGACTTATTTAAATGAACTTTTTAACTATGTACTAAAGAGTATCGGCTCAATTGTTCGCTTCTCTTGAACTCACGTCGGGTCTACTCTGATTTAATCGATCTTTTCCTCGACTAAGTTGCTGCTACACGCAAACCCCTTGTGTGTACCATATCCGCTATAGGCTTCCAATTCGTTTTCCTCTTCGCCGTCGGAAAGTGCCGTCGTTGGGCACTAGGCAGAATGCATGAGGCTCTAAATTTACCCGGTCGCCAAGCGAGCCCCTCATGTCCGCACGCCACGCCACCCCACCCCCACCCCTGCCCCGCCGCCGCTTCGATCCCGGGGGCCATTCCGCTCTGCATCGGCCATCTAGGTTCAGCTAGGACCTGGACGAAGTACTCGACGGCCCCTACGCAACCCAGGCTCGGCAAATTCACGCGATCGAGATTTGATGCCGCTTTCTAATTAGGCATTTATT